GGTCTAGTCCGGTCCAGTCCTGGTCTAGTGGTCTGGTCTAGTCCTGGTCTAGTCCTGGTCTAGTCCTGGTCTAGCTGGTCTAGTTCTGGTCTAGTCCTCTAGTCCCTGGTCTAGTCCTGGTCTAGTCCTGGTCTAGTCCTGGTCTAGTCAGTCCTGGTCTAGTCCTGGTCTAGTCTGTCTAGTCCTGGTCTAGTCCTGGTCTAGTCCTGGTCTAGTCTGGTCTAGTCCTGGTCTAGTCTAGTCTGGTCTAGTCCTGGTCTAGTCCTGGTCTAGTCCTGGTCTAGTCTGGTCTAGTCCTGTCTAGTCTAGTCCTGGTCTAGTTCTGTCTAGTCTAGTCTGTCTGTCCTGGTCTAGTCCTGGTCTAGTCCTGGTCTAGTTCTGGTCTAGTCCTGGTCTAGTCTGGTCTAGTCCTGGTCTAGTCTGGTCTAGTCCTGGTCTAGTTCTGGTCTAGTCCTGGTCTAGTCCTGGTCTAGTCCTGGTCCAGTCCTGGTCTAGTTCTGGTCTAGTCCTGGTCTAGTCCTGGTCTAGTCCTGGTCTAGTCCTGGTCTAGTCCTGGTCTAGTCCTGGTCTAGTCTGGTCTAGTCCTGGTCTAGTCTAGTCTGGTCTAGTCTGGTCTAGTCCTGGTCTAGTCCTGTCTAGTCCTGGTCTAGTCCTGGTCTAGTCCTGGTCTAGTCTGGTCAGTCCTGGTCTAGTCCTGGTCTAGTCTAGTCTGGTCTAGTCCTGGTCTAGTCTAGTCCTGGTCTAGTCCTGGTCTAGTCCTGGTCTAGTCCTGGTCTTTGTCTTACAGTTGTCTAAAGATGTGCCCGTGTCCTTCCGTCTGCGTCTGGTTGAGGAAATTCAGGTCCAGAGCCTCAAACCTGCTGTGGTCAGAATCTACGACTACTACCAACCAAGTACTACAATACTACACTACTGCAATACTCTGAATACTGTGTACTTTTCATGGAGTAGAAGTACTAATGTGTGTATTTTTGTTGTGTTCAGGTGACGAGGCAGAGACAGAGTACACGTCCCCGTGTGCTGCTCCAAACAAACACTGAACATTTTATAAACAGTAAATTACAAATAAACAAACAACAAACGAATCATGTTTGTCTGAATGTTTTTATAATCTGGTTTAGACCTGGTTTAGTCCTGGTTTAGACCTGTTTAGACCTGGTTTAGACCTGGTTTAGACCTGGTTTAGACCTGGTTTAGACCTGGTTTAGACCTGGTTTAGACCTGGTTTAGTCCTGGTTTAGACCTGGTTTAGTCCTGGTTTAGACCTGGATTAGACCTGGTTTAGACCCTGGTTTAGACCTGGTTTAGACCTGGATTAGACCTGGTTTTAGACCTGGTTTAGTCCTGGGTTAGACCTGGATTAGACCTGGTTCAGTCCCTGGTTTAGTCCTGGTTTAGATCTTTTTTAGACCTGGATTAGACCTGGTTTAGACCTGGTTTAGACCTGGATTAGACCTGGTTCAGTCCCTGGTTTAGTCCTGGTTTAGACCTGGTTTAGACCTGGTTTAGTCCTGGTTTAGTCCTGGTTTAGACCTGGTTTAGACCTGGTTTAGACCTGGATTAGACCTGGATTAGTCCTGGTTTAGACCTGGATTAGACCTGGTTTAGTCCCTGATTTAGACCTGGATTAGACCTGGATTAGTCCTGGTTTAGACCTGGATTAGACCTGGTTTAGTCCCTGATTTAGACCTGGATTAGACCTGGTTTAGTCCCTGGTTTAGACCTGGATTAGACCTGGTTTAGTCCCTGATTTAGACCTGGATTAGACCTGGATTAGACCTGGTTTAGACCTGGATTAGACCTGGTTTAGACCTGGATTAGACCTGGTTTAGTCCCTGGTTTAGACCTGGATTAGACCTGGTTTAGACCTGGTTTAGACCTGGATTAGACCTGGTTTAGTCCCTGGTTTAGACCTGGATTAGACCTGGTTTAGACCTGGATTAGACCTGGTTTAGACCTGGATTAGACCTGGATTAGACCTGGTTTTAGACCTGGATTAGACCTGGTTTAGTCCCTGATTTAGACCTGGTTTAGACCTGGATTAGACCTGGTTTAGACCTGGATTAGACCTGGTTTAGTCCCTGGTTTAGACCTGGTTTAGACCTGGATTAGACCTGGTTTAGACCTGGATTAGACCTGGTTTAGTCCCTGGTTTAGACCTGGATTAGACCTGGTTTAGACCTGGATTAGACCTGGTTTAGTCCTGGTTTAGACCTGGATTAGACCTGGTTTAGACCTGGTTTAGACCTGGTTAGACCTGGTTTAGTCCCTGGTTTTAGACCTGGATTAGACCTGGTTTAGTCCTTGTCTCCCGTCCAACAGTCAGTTCATGAAAATCATGCACTTCTGGAAAAGATTTTGACTTTTGACATGGTGTTAGGTTTGGGCCTAAGATTTTTTTAAATCCATGGAGACAAGTTGGTGACGCCCTCTAGTGGCCGATGAGCATAAAATCCAAAAACAAGAAACAAGAAAAGGTTTTATCTCCACTTCCTTTAGTCTTAAATTGCTGTATAATGTTTTTTTTTTTTTTTTTTTTAACTTTGTTTGATACAAGGAATTCAATTCTGATTTATTCTTCTTGTTTTTAGTAAATCTTTTTGTCAAATCGGATTATAATAGTCATATTTAACTGAAATAAACTGTCAATATCTGTGAAAAAGTCACATTTAAATATTACTCAGGGCTCTTAGCTATTTTAAACCAACAAACCAAAGAAGTAACTCCCTTCTTTAAGGATGTTGAACTTGGTCCTGGTCTCCCAGAGCCCACAGCCACTTCTATCTGTCGATCTGAAGTGAAAATGGCAGAAACTGAAACCAGCTTAAAGCACAAACATGCTTTGAAGCCCAACAGTGCCTCTCAGGTAAGTTCAGAAAGTCAACTTCAAAATGACAATGCGCTAGACCAGGGGTGTGCAAACTACGGCCCGGGGGCCGTATGTGGCTCTTTAAACCTTTTAATCCGGCCCGCCGAACTGGAATAAATTACAATAATAAACCTTGTTGATGTTTTATTTGTCATGCATTTCCGGCGTTTCCCAGTAGATGGCGCACTGCATATACATTGAGGTGTGGCGTATTATGTTGGCCGCAATGCTTTATGGGAAAGTGTTCTTACAGGAGTCATTCAGACCATGAGTGAAGTACTGATGTTCAAGATATAAGGCTGCACTGCTTACAGTTTAAACTGGTTGATAATCACATGTAAAACTTGAAGATTCAAAGTTGTAGATGTCAAATTATGTGACTTTCATAGTGTCCAGTTTTGCTGCATATATGAATGTGTGTGTGATTGTTTGGCATTGGTTTTGTTATTGAGTTATTTTGAGTCAAATTTGAAAACGGTGAGGTCATGGTATTTGTTTCCCTGTTGTGTGCAGTGGAAGCAGATCTATTAACTTCTTGTGTGTTCTGAATGTTTCGCAGCAATGTTGTAGCGTGAAGTGCACTTCTTACATAAGCGTAAATACGAATATAATGCAGCTGAGCTCTTGACACGTCATGTCCTGTGTTCTGTCCAGCCCTTGAGTTAAATTTTAGGACCCTATGTGGCCCGCGAGCCAAAAAGTTTGCCCACCCCTGCACTAGACAGTCACACCAAACGGCCTTTTAAAAGATTTTTGTGCAAACTAACTAAAAAGTGCCCAGCTCAGAAGCTTTACATGCCCAACATCCTCGACAACGAGCTCCAACAGGAAGCTGTCCTTGGCACCACTGCACACGTCAGTGTAATGTCAAACATTCTTTTTGATCAATTGTGAAAAGTGATTCATGTAAAAGGACGAAACCTGAAATGTTCTCCATGCTTTCTTGAAGTCCAGTCATACACTGACACCAGCACCGTCCTGACCAAAGCAGCTTTGATTCACTTCACAGTTGGACCCATGACCGTGGTCCACCAAATCTATTTGTCTCCAACTGACTCGATTCCTTATCGGTCAAGATCTTCTTAATCGATTTAAACCTCTGATTGATTTTAATAATCTGACACTTTCAGGTGACACTGACTAACCAAGACACCAGGATCAGGACTGGACTAACCAGGACTAGACTAAAACAGGACTAATCCAGGACTAAACCAGGACTAATCCAGGACTAACTAGGACTAAACCAGGACTAATCCAGACTAAACCAGGACTAACTCAGGACTAGACTAACAGGACTAACCAGGACTAATCCAAGACAAAACCAGGACTAATCCAAGACAAAACCAGGACTAATCCAGGACTAAACCAGGACTAATCCAGGACTAAACCAGGACTAATCCAAGACAAAACCAGGACTAATCCAAGACAAAACCAGGACTAATCCAGGACTAAACCAGGACTAATCCAGGACTAAACAGGACTAATCCAGACAAATCCAGACTAAACCAGACTAATACCAGGACTAAACAGGACTAATCCAAGACAACCAGGACTAATCCAGGACTAAACCAGGACTAATCCAAGACAAAACCAGGACTAATCCAGGACTAAACCAGGACTAATCCAAGACAAAACCAGGACTAAACCAGGACTAAACCAGGACTAATCCAGGACTTTACCAGGACTGTCTCAGGGTGCACTACCTGAAATGTCCTGCAGGTGTTTGTGTCGTCGTCCACTGTGTCTGTGAGTAAACTCGTCTTCTCGTCTTTGATCAGACTCACGGTGAAGTTCAGCTCCTCAGAGACCTGCAGCAGACTCATGCAGAACTTCACCGTACTCCCAGACTCCACCACCGCAGGGAGCACCACCAGGAACTGACTACACAAAACAAAATCCCGTTTGTTAATGGAGAGGAGCAGAAGACAAACAGACTGAGCTGCACTTTCTTGTTCTTGTGGTTTTACAGAAACATCACGTCTTGGTCTCTTTGCAGTGGAAGGTGTTTCTTGGTGAACAGTTGGAGACTTTCACTTTGGCGTTGACTTTTTAAATCCTGCCCATCACCTTCACCTTTCACTATTTTTCAATTCCGTTGGGAAGAGAAACAGTTTGAACAGAGGTTTGAGTCACACACATCTGATTCACTTTTGCATTTATGGAAGTTCACAAACAAATTTCTCGAGTTGTTTTCCGCTGTTAGGATCCAACAACCACAACAATTACGACGTCCGAATCCCAAAACTAAAATATGACAATATCAGAACCAGAAACAAAAGTGATATGGTTCAAAAGACTTGAAAAGATCGACTTTGACAACAGACACATCCCACTGGGAAAACAAACATGGAGGTTTGACGCTCACTTTTTCGGAAAATCCTTCCCAGTATGAATTGTGCAATGACCAGAAGTCTGAAATTCTTGATGCATCTATTAGACGTCAGTGTCGGAGCAGCGGTTTGTAACATTCGGGAAGTAAATTTCTCAATCAAAAAATGATATAAAGTTTGACCAGAGGAGCTGTCGTTTTATTTAACCTGTTTCTGAAACTGTAGTTATTGAAACGTTTCACAGAATCTCGTGTTTTAAAACTAAACCAAGGCTCCTTAGATTTGAATTTTTGGAAAAGTCTGTGAGAAAAATGAATGGAAATTGTACTTCCGGATCCGGAGTGGACTTATAAGGAATCGTGGCGCTCTGCTCCTCGCCGCTGCCCTGAGCCGACCCGCTCCAGTTTATTCAACTCCGCCTCTGTGAAAATCAATTTATTTGGAAAAACAAATAAAAGTGTAATTTGTGTAGGACGAGAGAAGCACAGAGAGTTCAAAGGTCGAGTTTAACACAACAGAGTCACACGTCCAAAAACAAATCACTGATCAACACTTAAACTAGAGTCACAACTAGATCCTCATTTGAGCTTTACAACGAACTAGACCCTGGTTGAGTTCTGTTTTACACAGATATAAAGACACATGGGAATAGAAAAAGAAAAATACTAACATGAATAACATGAAGGGGGTTCATTGTTGTGGGCGGAGCTGTGTGGGGGTGTGGTCTGTGCGGGCGTGCGGGGCGTGGCCTGTGTGTGGGCGTGGCCTGTGCTCTGTCAGATATGTGCGGTCGGAGGTGAGTCTGGTTCAGACATGGGTCCTGGCTGCAGCTCGTGGTGGAGGCGGCTCCTCCTCGTACTCGCCCTGAGCCTGGGGGCCTCTGCAGACCCGTGAGTACCAGATGCCCTCCCAGCCTCCTCCCTGTGTGTCAGATGCCCTCCCGTCTTGTTTCCCTGAGTGTCAGACTGAGGTGGAGCAGGTCAAATGTCTCTGGTGAATCTGCAGATGTTTTGTCGTGTCAGACGTGGAGGGAGCAGATTTTCTAAACTCTAAACCTGGACACAGTCGGGTTTGGATGTTTGGTGTAAATAAAATAGTGAGAAGAGTGAGAAACATTGTGGATTCTCATGTCAGTCATGATCTGAGGAACTTCTGACACTGGATTTTTTGATTTATGATCATTTACAAACACAATTTTCTGTTTTTTGACAAAACAAATGACGATTTATGCTCCTGTTTACTGTTGGAGGGATCAGATTAGTCAAACATTTTGATAGTTCTGGATTAGTCCTGATGTAGTCCTGGTTTAGTCCTGATGTAGTCCTGGTTTAGTCCTGATTTAGTCCTGGTTTAGACCTGAGTGCCCTTGGTCCTCTCTCTCTGTAACAGCTGCTCTGATCTTTGTCATTTTGGTTTTAAAATGTTCAGATTAACCCACTCTACATAATCCTGTTTTTGTGTGTGTGTGTGTTTTTGTTGTTGTTGTTATTTTGTCATTTATAATGATGTGTAGTCAGTTCCTGGTGGTGCTCCCTGCGGTGGTGGAGTCTGGGAGTACGGTGAAGTTCTGCATGAGTCTGCTGCAGGTCTCTGAGGAGCTGAACTTCACCGTGAGTCTGATCAAAGACGAGAAGACGAGTTTACTCACAGACACAGTGGACGACGACACAAACACCTGCAGGACATTTCAGGTACTGCACCCTGAGACAGTCCTGGCTTAGTCCTGGTCTTAGTCTTGATTTAGTCCTGGTTTAGTCCTGGTTTAGTTCATGTTTCTTTTGTTTTTCAGGCTCCTGTTGTTGAAGATTCTGAAATCCAGAATTTTGAGTTTGAAATCAAAGGAAAAAACTTTCAACGATGGGAAACTCACAAAATCCAAATCAAGAACCACGGACTGAAAACGTTTATCCAGACCGACAAACCCCTGTACCTGCCCGGGCAGACAGGTGAGTGTCAGGTGCAGGAGGAGGCGGCAGGTGCTGGGCCTGTCAGGGAGGAGGCTGTGGATTTGACTCTTGATCTCTGAGTGGAGTTTGCATGTTCTGGTTTAGACTAAACCAGGACTAAACCAGGACTAAACCAGAACCAGGACTAAACCAGAACTGAACCCAGACTACTCCAGGACTAAGCCAGGACTAAGCCAGGACCAAATGAGGACTAAACCAAGAAAAGCCAGGACTGGTTTAGTCCAGGACTAAACCAGGAACCAGGACTAAACCAGAACTAAACCAGGACTGTGTTGTTTTTCTTGCAGTGCATTTTCGAGTGGTGACGTTGGACTCGAAGCTGAGACCTGCAAAT